ATATTGCAATTTTTCACCCATAACTCACAGTCCAAAATATCCCCAGTACGTAACTTTGTGGACGCTCCAAAAATAGCATTTGGTTCTGTGAGGAACTCACGAATACTGCTAACTTCGTCGTTGTTATTTGTTTACGAAAGCTGAATTCTGGGGGTATTGGTGGAAGTTTTGTTATCACTGTACCTCTGGTGTACATATACCAGTCTCCCCGTACTCTCTGTGCTGATGCTGTCTACCAGTGACCAGCAGCTGCTGTCTGATCAGGTAATTTGCACCCGGGTAAGCAACATCGGAGAGCAAGAGCAACACTAGATAGTGAGAGCAACACCAATTAACCAATTAACGAGGCCAACACCAGACAGCGAGATCAGCGTTAGATAGCGAGGCCAACACTAGATACCGAGGCCAAGGCAGACCACCAACAGAAAAAGATACATAATAATTTATGTATCAGAATTTCAGGAAGGACTGGTCTTAAATCTGCACAAAGAAATCAATGCCTACGACAGCAAGTGGCTAGGCAGAAGGTGCGAAATACTCTCAACGAAAGGGAATTAAAAGATCTCTGACCGGCTTCAAGTGAAATTTGGTAAGTTCCGTAAGCCAGAACTTGATCAGCTGGGAAATGGAGCCTATGTTGGACTACATGTGGCTAGCAGTAACAGCTTGGTGATCAATCTATCTGTCAGGAAGCCTGGTCTCGGACCAGGCCGTAGAAGTAGTGACCTCAGAAATCATTTTCAGGTATCTTTCAAGTAACACCAGAGACTGACACCAGGGGACATGGACAACAGCAGAGAGCGAGGCCAACACCGGAGACCGAGGCCAATAGCAGAGAGCGAGGTAAATACAAGAGAGAGGGCAATACCAGAGGCCATCACCTTTGAGACTAAGAGCAGAGAGCAGCAGCAGACAGCGAGGTCAACAAGAGAGAGAGAGCAGCAAGAGACAGCTAGTGGCGGAGGCGCCAAGTGCTGAGTTCTGCTGTCGAGTGTTCCATGTGACTATTGATCAGCTGGTAGGCGGCAGTGACGGCTCTCAGTATCAAAACACAGCTGTAGTTGGCACTTCCCATGCCACTCCTACTTGCTGGCGCTAACTAGACATCTCATTCTTGTTGGCACTTCCGTGGGTGTCAAATCCTTTGTTGGCAGTCCAGCTACCTTAAATCTGTGTTAGCATTAATCGGGCATCAACGTCTTGTTGACACTCCCCAGATGTAACGTCAATGTTGACACTCCCGGGATGCAACGTCAATGTTGACACTCCCCGGATGTAACGTCAATGTTGACACTCCCGGGATGTAACGTCAATGTTGACACTCCCCGGATGTAACGTCATCATTGCCACTCCAGGAATGAAACGTCATTGTTGGCACTCCCAGAATGTAACGTCACTGTTGGCACTCCCGGAATGTCACGTCATTGTTGGCACTCCCGGAATGTCACGTCACTGTTGGCACTCCTGGGACGTCACATAATTGTTTGCCCTTCCGGGGTGTCACGTTCTTATGGCATTAATGAGCAGCATCACTGTCATACTGGTACTTACAAGGCATCAGGAGCATGTTTTCACTATTTTTATTTTACACGTATTCGGCAATTTCCCATCAAGGCAATCACACTGACCATCATTCGTTCCACAGCTGCCTCTCCAGAAGTGCGTGGACATCCTTATCTGAGGACCCACAGATCCACAGCATCACCAACCCACGTTCACAGTGAGGGTACTGTGATTCTCACCTCGAGATATCAAGTATGCTTAATTGGTTTTCGCGATTCGCATCACATTAATTACATTGCTCACTCCAACAGCATATCAAATCCCCGAAACACTCATTGTATCTACTTGGAGCCAAAAGGGTCAAGCATGTTTGCTGGATGCTCAAGCCCATACTTTACAAAACTTCTTTCACATCCTTGATGCGACTTTTCTTCGGATGTCCAGGCACATCCAACCATCCACCCTACATTTATACACATTCTTGATCAATCAGTTTTTATCTGCCCATTCATATGGCAAAACTCTCTCAGCAAGCACTCTTCTGCTCCGTTAATTATACCTTTCACGTGACCACGCCATCTTGTAATTTTATCACTGCTTATTCTCCAAATATGAACACTAAGAACTAAATTCGTGTAACATTCACACTGCTTCCAGCCTTCTCCATGCTGCGACATTCAAGAACAACGCTTTAATCCTTACAAAAACGTCACCACCAATCTACTCAAGATACTTTCCTATGTTTTTGCGTGCTCTAACAAACATCTGAACACAGATTTCTCAACACTCCTGCTACTTTCTCTCATTCATTCTGTGATTCCTGTCAACTCCCAAAACTCGAACTGTCGACACATCCACTAAAAGCATAGAAATTCATTCATTTCATCCATACTCCTGAAGAGAGGCAGGCCAAGGGTTGGGAACCTGTGAAGACGGTGTTCAATGAGGACAAATTTCGGGTACTCCTTTACGGAAAACTTGAGGAAATAACCGCTAAACGGAATATACAACAAATTCTAACCACACAATAGAACGAAAAATTAATGCGAAGGACTTGGGAGTGTTAATGTCAGAGGATCTCACCTTCAAGGATCACAACAGTGGCATTAGCACATTTGCGAGGAAAATGACAGGATGGATAATGTGAGCTTTCAAAATAAGAAATGCCATGCCAATGATGATCATCTTCAAGTCATTTATTCTCTCTAGGCTGGAATACTGCTGTACAAGGCAGGTGAAACTGCGGATCTAGAGTATGTACACAGAACCTTCACTGCAAGTATTAGTTCAGTCAAGCACTTTAATTTCTGGAAACGTTTGAAGTCCCTTGACATATACTCCCTGGTGCCAAGAGTATATTAAGAGAAAATACAGTAAGTGTCTTGGGTTCAAGACTGTTCAACAGCTTCCCCATCATACCTAAGGGGAATTACCAATAGACCCCCTACTGTCTTCAAGAGAGAGCTAGATAGATACCTGAAGTCAGTGCCCGATCAGCCGGACTGTAGTTCATACATTGGATTGCGTGCGGCCAGCAGTAACAGCCTGGTTGATCAGGCATTGATCTACCGGGAAGCCTGGTTTAGGACCGGGCCGTGGGGGCGTTGACCCCCGGAACACCCTCCAGGTAGACAAGAGTTATCACACCCATGTGTTTGATTTCAAATTCTTTTAACACATCCTAAAATCTTCTAAAAAATCTTCAACTTTTCTGAATTTTTTGAAAGTATTGTGTTATCAGCACAGACCCACTGTGACAACTTATTATACTTTCACATTCAGTGTCTTCTAAAGGCTTTGAACTTCAGAGGTCAGCATCACTGACATTATATATTATATATTATATATATATATATATATATATATATATATATATATATATATATATATATATATATATATATATATATATATATATAATATATACATACATACATACATACATACACAACACACTAAGAATCTGCTTAATAATATATTAAACCCATTTTTAAGAATTCGTGACTGGTGATGAACATGTTAAGTGCAGTCTTAATGACACTTGTTAAGCCGTAATATTTTTAACCTAACCACTCACCCTTTCTCACACACAGTAACAATCTAACTTTGCTCCTCCCCACCCACACACACAATGGACTGTAAGAAGGCTTTTGACAGTGCCACACAAGAGAGTAGTGCATAAGCTGGAGGACCAGGCAGACATAACAGGGAAGGTACTGCAATGGATCAGGAATATCTGTCGGATAGATATCAGAGTCATGGTACGAGACGAAGTGTCAGAGTGGGCGCCTGTGACGAGCGGGCTTCCACAAGGGTCAGTCCTAGGACCGGTGCTGTTTCTGGTATATGTGAACATGACGGGAGGAATTGACTCAGAAATGTCCCTGTTTGCGGATGATGTGAAGTTGATGAGAAAAAATTCAATGAGACGAGGACCAGGCAGAACTACAAAGGGATCTGGACGGACTGCAGGTCTGGTCCAGAGACTGGCTCCTGGAATTCAACCCCACCAAATGCAAAGTCATGAAGATTGGGGAAGGGCAAAGAAGACTGCAGACGGAGTACATACATATATATATATATATATATATATATATATATATATATATATATATATATATTATATATATATATATTTATATATATATAATATATAATATATAATAATAATAATTACATTACTGCTATGATTTATGTACTACATTCCTGTATTGCATTCATGAATAATTCGAACTAACATTCAGAACTACTACATTTATGTACTATATTCAGTACTATTAAATTCATATACTACCATAGTTATTATACATACTATATAATAATATATATATATATATATATATATATATATATATATAATATATATAATATTTAGTAAATTATGTCGAATATGTCCTGGCTAACATTAATATTATTCAATGTGAGTTAGTATCCATCGAGATCCTTAAAATGAAGCATTTGCAAATGAGGAGGAAGAGGAAGTGAAAGGAGGCACAGGAGGAGGAAGAGGAAAAGAAAGAGAAGGAAGAGGAGGAGGAGGACGAGGACGAGGACGAGGACGACGACGACGATTTAGTTCAGATTATTAACTCAGAGGCTTATTAACCAGGCTAACCCAATAAAGCCTTGTCATCACACTGGCTTTTTTCCATAAGGGCTCCCTTAAATCTTTTTCCCCAGGATGCGACTCATACAACGTCGATTAAGACTCAGGTACCTACTAACTGCTAGGTGAAAAGGGGAGGCAGGAAACGTGCTTGCTCATTTACGTGCCCATTTACACATCCAGGGCTATTCTGGCCATTTCTGATTAATGACCTTTTTTGTGTTGAGAATTTTGATATTAACACCAGTGACAACACAAGATCTTCCTCGCTGTTCCCAGTGAGACACACTTAGGTATATATTTCCCAGTAGTGACCTCACAACTTACCCCCTCCCCTTCAAAGTTCAGAAGGGGGGAGGGGGGTCTGTGTTGCGACGTCAGCAACACTTACGTCAGGGTTAAGCAACACTAAGGAGGGGGCAGTGCCAGCCAGCTGAGTCTGGCACTGTGGAGGACAGGAGCAACACTTGGCACTCACTACCACACACTGACCGACTACACCGTGTGGCCCACTCCGTTACGGCCCTCTTCCCTCCCACTACCCCTCTCTCCCACCCACCCTTTCTATAACCTACCCCTACCACAACCCACCTACCCTACCACCAACCAACCACCACCATCTCTCACCACAACCCCTCCAACAGGCAATCAACCCCACAACCAGTGTCATCCCACCCCACACCCCACCCAGTCCAACCTCGCTAAACGCATCCATCCTTTCCTAAATCTCAAAAAAACCCACCCACCCTCCCTCCCTCCTTTCCTTACGAACACCTACCCGGTCCCTATCCATCTACCTGGAGTCTACCTGGAAGGTGTTCCGGGGGTCAACGCCCCCTCGGCCTGGTCCTTGACTAGGCCTACCGGTATGATCAACCAGGCTGTTGCTGCTGGCCGCACGTAAACCAACGAATGAACCACAGCCCGGCTGATCGTGTACTGACTTAGGTAACTGTCCAGCTCCCTCTTGAAGACACCCAGGGGTCAACTGGCAATTCTCCTTATGCCTGGTGGGAGGCTGTTGAACAGTGTTGGGCTCCGGACACTTAGTCTAGTAGTAAAAATAGGTCCCTGTGTTGGTAAACTGTTATGGGTCACATCCGGGGAGAATACGCTACATAATTTCAGTCCTGCTAGAATATAATAATCTATGCAAGAAAACACTTTGGTTTGTGTGCAAGAAATTATAGTACATGCTGGAACCAATCGCCTAGCAGGAAGTAGGTGACTGGTTCCGGCAGGTGTCAATCGACCGGCGTGGGTAGCACCCTGTGTGGGAGGGGGGGAGAGAAGATAATTAAAGTACCCAATGGAAATAAGCCAGACAGTCTTCCATGATAACCAGGCTTATTGGATTATATTGTTTACTAACTTCTCGAGTTAACAATCCAAATATTATCATCAACTTTCTTCTTCTTCTTCTTCGTCTTTGTGTTCTTCTTGTTTCAAGTGTTGGCTGAAAAGGCATCCCTGTACCCAGTGTTATTAAAAAATTCCCTTACACCCAGTCACTCTCCCTTACACGAAGTTACTCTCCCTTACACCCAGTCACTCTCCTTTACACACAGTTACTCTCCCTTACACTCAGTCACTCTCCCTTACACTCAGTCACTCTCCCTTACACCCAGTCACTCTCCCTTACACACAGTTACTCTCCCTTACACTCAGTCACTCTCCCTTACACTCAGTCACCCTCCTTTACACACAGTTACTCTCCCTTACACTCAGTCACTCTCCCTTACACTCAGTCACCCTCCTTTACACAGCAGTTACTCTCCCTTACACTCAGTCACTCTCCCCTTACCTCAGTCACTCTCCCTTACACCAGTCACTCTCCCTTACACTCAGTTCACTCTCCCTTACACTCAGTCACTCTCCCTTACACTCAGTCACTCTCCCTTACACTCAGTCACTCTCCTTACACTCAGTCACTCTCCCTTACACCATCAGTTACTCTCCCTTACACTCAGTCACTCTCCCTTACACTCAGTCACTCTCCCTTACACTCAGTCACTCTCCCTTACACTCAGTCACTCTCCCTTACACTCAGTCACTCTCCCTTACACTCACTCTCCCTTACACTCAGTCACTCTCCCTTACCCTCAGTCACTCTCCCTTACACTCAGTCACTCTCCCTTACACTCAGTCACTATCCCTTACACTCAGTCACTCTCCCTTACACTCAGTCACTCTCCCTTACACTCAGTTCACTCTCCCTTACACTCAGTCACTCTCCCTTACCTCAGTCACCCACCTTACCTCACTCCTTACACTCAGTCCTCTCCCTTACACTCAGTCACTCTCCCTTACACTCAGTCCTCTCCCTTACACTCAGTCACTCTCCCTTACACCCAGTCACTCTCCCTTACACTCAGTCACTCTCCCTTACACCTCAGTCACTCTCCCTTACACTCAAGTCACCTACTACCTCATTCTCCTTACACTCATCACTCTCCCTTACACTCAGTCACTCTCCCTTACACTCAGTCCCTCTCCCTTACACTCACGTCCTCTCCCTTACACTCAGTCACTCTCCCTTACACCCAGTCTACTCTCCCTACACTCAGTCACTCTCCCTTACACTCAGTCACTCTCCCTTACACTCAGTCCACTCTCCCTTACACTCAGTCCACTCTCCCTTACACTCAGTCACTCTCCCTTACACTCAGTCCTCTCCCTTACACTCAGCCACTCTCCCTTACACCTCAGTCACTCTCCCTTACACTCAGTACTCTCCCTTACACTCAGCCACTCTCCATTACACTCAGTTCACTCTCTCCCTTACACTCAGTCCTCTCCCTTACACTCAGTCACTCTCCCTTACACTCAGTCACTCTCCCTTACACTCAGTCACTCTCCCTTACACTCAGTCCACTCTCCCTTACACTCAGCCTACACCCTCTCCCCTTACACTCAGTCACCTCTCCTTACACTCAGTCACTCTACCCTTACACTCCACTCCACTCTCCCTTACACTCAGTCACTCTCCCTTACACTCAGTCACTCTCCCTTACACTCAGTCCCTCTCCCTTACACTTCACTCATCTCCTCCCTTACACTCAGTCACTCTCCCTTACACTCAGTCACTCTCCCTTACACTCAGTCACTCTCCCTTACACTCAGTTCACTCTCCCTTACACTCAGTCACCTCCCTTACACTCAGTCACTCTCCCTTACACTCAGTCACTCTCCCTTACACTCAGTCACTCTCCCTTACACTCAGTCCCTCTCCCTTTACACTCAGTCACTCTCCCTTACACTCAGTCACTCTCCCTTACACTCAGTCACTCTCCCTTACACTCAGTCACTCTCCCTTACACTCAGTCACTCTCCCTTACACTCAGTCACTCTCCCTTACACTCAGCCACTCTCCCTTACACTCAGTCACTCTCCCTTACACTCAGTCACTCTCCCTTACACTCAGTCACTCTCCCTTACACTCAGTTACTCTCCCTTACACTCAGCCACTCTCCCTTACACTCAGTCACTCTCCCTTACACTCAGTCACTCTCCCTTACACTCAGTCACTCTCCCTTACACTCAGTCACTCTCCCTTACACTCAGTCACTCTCCCTTACACTCAGTCACTCTCCCTTACACTCAGTCACTCTCCCTTACACTCAGTCACTCTCCCTTACACTCAGTCACTCTCCCTTACACTCAGTCACTCTCCCTTACACTCAGTCACTGTACTCTGCTACACTCAGTCACTCTTCCCTTACACTCAGTCCACTCTCCTCCCTTTACACTCAGTCACTCCCTCCCCCTTTCACTCATCACTCATTCCCCTTACACTCATCACTAAGATATTTGCCTACATAAAATGTTTTATTAATCTCTAACGCTTCTCCTCTCCTTCTCCATCCTCTTTCCTCCCTCCCTTCCTCTCCTCCACCTATATCCTCCTTATAAATCCCCTATCGTCCTCCTTTACTCTTCACATTCCAAAATATTATCCAATGAGACTAATTACTTTTCGTTAAGGCTTCACTACTTTTCTCCCTTTACCTTTACATCACCTTCTCTATACATACTTAAACTTTGTTTACTTTTTTATTTTATTTTTTTTATTTTTTACACAGTGTTTCTACAAGGTAAGGATCCTAGCTTTATTACAAGTCTTTTAAGGTTAAGGATTCTAACTTTATTGGCGAGCTAAGAGCTGTTACCTACATCACTCAATTGAAAGCATTGTATTTTGTTATGAGACATACAGTAGAACAGATGAAGTTGAGCCATCTGTGGCCAGCATTTTCTATTTGACAACTTGACTTATCCGATCATGACATCATATCCGTAGCGATGGTCCTAGGCGAGTCAATCCTCTGGTTATGTAAGATCTCAGATGGAGGTGTGTCTGGAGAAGGTACAGCCAAGTGAAGTAGCTGTGCTCTATCTGCCCGTCTTGTGGCATAAAAGCTTGTTTCACGCTGTCCTCGAAGTGGATCCAAGTGTGGTATTTTGACAATATTGGCCTTGTAACATAACAGTAAGGCCACCCACATCCCTCCTATGTTGAAGGCTCTGCTGAAATGACAGATCTATCCAGGATGGGTCCAGGCGAGAGATGAGACGTCTTGCTCTGTTCTCTACTCTGTCAAGCCAGCCGCAGAAAGAGAGGGGGGGCAGGCAAACCAAGAAAGTGGAGCATACTCAAGGTGTGAGCGTACTTGTGCCTCGTACAGGATCTTGCAACCCCTACTGTCAAGCAGATGCGAGATACGGCGAAGTGCTGTAAGCTTCCTGGCTGCCTTGTTTGCAAGATTTACAACATGGTTCTTCATGGTTAGTTTGGAGTCAAATTTCACCCCAAGGATATCAACTTCTTCTCCAGGTGCCAACATCGTCCCATTCATCCTTACTACTGCACCAGCATTACCATCATAGTGCCTAGAGACAATCATCATTTGCGTTTTCTCAGGTGCAAATGTTACTTGCCATCTATTTCCCCAAGCTGATATAGCTCTTAGCTGGTGATTGATGTAGCTTAGAGCACCTGGCATTTCTTCTCTTGGATAAGTGAATGTCAGTGTACAGTCGTCTGCATATGCATGTGATTCTGGGATGAGATGAAGAAGGTCGTTGAAGTAGACATTCCATAACAGTGGACCCAGCACACTTCCTTGTGGAACGCTTGCCCCAATAGGATGCCTTGCTGATTCCGTTCCATTGAGGACTACACTTAGAGATCTACCATGAAGGTAATCACTGAGGAGACATAGCGTAGAGCCTGCAATTCCCAGTGCTTGAAGTTTTGCTAAGAGGCCCTGGTGCCACACCCGGTCGAAAGCGCCAGCAATGTCCAGTGCTACCACACAGCTGACTTTGGATTCATCCAGTGACTGGTGCCACTTAGTGGAGAGGTTTAACAATAGATCAGCAGCAGAGTAACCTTTCCTGAAGCCATATTGACGATCACAAAGTAGTGAGTGGTAGTCAAAAAACTCTGTCATTTGTCTTGAGATTATTGTCTCAAGGAT